CATCCGAGTGCCGGCGGGGAAGTGGTTCATATAGCCTCGGCTATCACTTCCTTATGTCCAGTCGTGATGGTCAAGCGGATTAAGGCGTCCCTGTACATACCAGTTGTGGGAGTATGGGTTCGAGTCACTTCTGGGGTGTGAGTTTTCAGTTGTATATAGTCCTGGGGACCATTCAGGCTTGTTTGCATTTGTGTTCCTCACGTGTGCCCCAAAGAATGAGGTGATTTGATAAAATGCTATGCCCAAGATTACCATCCGAGTGCCGGCGGGGAAGTGGTTCATATAGCCTCGGCTATCACTTCCTTATGTCCGGTCGTGATGGTCAAGCGGATTAAGGCGTCCCTGTACATACCAGTTGTGGGAGTATGGGTTCGAGTCACTTCTGGGGTGTGAGTTTTCAGTTATATATATATATATATATATATATATATATATGCCTCGTGTACACATCAAGACACATATATATATACCATCATGTACACATATCAAGATATATATATATACCATCGTATACACATCAAGACACATATATACCATCGTGTACACATCAAGACACATATAATGTAGTATACACACATCAAGACACATGTACATTTGAAGACCAGGTGAAGCAAACTGATGTTCCACTGAGGACTTAAGTTAATAATCCCCCCCGCCCAAGTTAGAGCAGCTTTGGTGCTCCTTGACAAAGTTGGATAATGAGACGAGCAGCTCCAAGGCGGGTGACGGAGCGCAGGTGACCTGTATTCTCCTCATTAATGCGGTTAGCAACAGTTCGCTTCCCGGGGTTCGAATCCTAGGCAACGGGAGATGCTGGAATCATCTTTTGTTTTGTTTTTTTCTTACGCCTCGTGTTTTTTTTTTATTGAGTCGTCAATTGGTACCTAGGAGCTAGCTCGCTGTTGTGGGTTGCTTCCTGTGGACGGTCATTCCTTTATGACTTTGGTTCTGTCAATTGTTGCAACACACACACAGGTTAGGTTACCCTAACCTAACCTTATTTAATCTAATATTTCTGTCAGAGTTGCACTGTTGAACGTGCAGGCGCGCACCTCGTAGGTGTGTAGGGCCAGGATGGTGGTGTGTATGGTGAGGGGGTTACTGTGTATGGTGAGGCAGGGTAGGGCCAGGATGGTGGTGTGTATGGTGAGGCAGGGTAGGGCCAGGATGGTGGTGTGTATGGTGAGGGGGTTACTGTGTATGGTGAGGCAGGGTAGGGCCAGGATGGTGGTGTGTATGGTGAGGCAGGGTAGGGCCAGGATGGTGGTGTGTATGGTGAGGGGGTTACTGTGTATGGTGAGGCAGGGTAGGGCCAGGATGGTGGTGTGTATGGTGAGGCAGGGTAGGGCCAGGATGGTGGTGTGTATGGTGAGGGGGTTTCTGTGTATGGTGAGGCAGGGTAGGGCCAGGATGGTGGTGTGTATGGTGAGGCAGGGTAGGGCCAGGATGGTGGTGTGTATGGTGAGGGGGTTACTGTGTATGGTGAGGGGGTTACTGTGTATGGTGAGGCAGGGTAGGGCCAGGATGGTGGTGTGTATGGTGAGGGGGTTACTGTGTATGGTGAGGCAGGGTAGGGGCCAGGATGGTGGTGTGTATGGTGAGGGGGTTACTGTGTATGGTGAGGCAGGGTAGGGCCAGGATGGTGGTGTGTATGGTGAGGCAGGGTAGGGCCAGGATGGTGGTGTGTATGGTGAGGCAGGGTAGGGGCCAGGATGGTGGTGTGTATGGTGAGGGGGTTACTGTGTATGGTGAGGCAGGGTAGGACCAGGATGGTGGTGTGTATGGTGAGGCAGGGTAGGGCCAGGATGATGGTGTGTATGGTGAGGCAGGGTAGGGCCAGGATGATGGTGTGTATGGTGAGGCAGGGTAGGTCCAGGATGATGGTGTGTATGGTGAGGCAGGGTAGGGCCAGGATGATGGTGTGTATGGTGAGGCAGGGTAGGTCCAGGATGATGGTGTGTATGGTGAGGCAGGGTAGGTCCAGGATGATGGTGTGTATGGTGAGGCAGGGTAGGTCCAGGATGATGGTGTGTATGGTGAGGCAGGGTAGGTCCAGGATGGTGGTGTGTATGGTGAGGCAGGGTAGGGCCAGGATGATGGTGTGTATGGTGAGGCAGGGTAGGGCCAGGATGATGGTGTGTATGGTGAGGCAGGGTAGGTCCAGGATGATGGTGTGTATGGTGAGGCAGGGTAGGTCCAGGATGATGGTGTGTATGGTGAGGCAGGGTAGGTCCAGGATGGTGGTGTGTATGGTGAGGCAGGGTAGGGCCAGGATGATGGTGTGTATGGTGAGGCAGGGTAGGTCCAGGATGATGGTGTGTATGGTGAGGCAGGGTAGGTCCAGGATGATGGTGTGTATGGTGAGGCAGGGTAGGGCCAGGATGATGGTGTGTATGGTGAGGCAGGGTAGGGCCAGGTTGATGGTGTGTATGGTGAGGCAGGGTAGGGCCAGGATGATGGTGTGTATGGTGAGGGGGGTTACTGTGTATGGTGAGGCAGGGTAGGGCCAGGATGATGGTGTGTATGGTGAGGCAGGGTAGGGCCAGGATGGTGGTGTGTATGGTGAGGGGGGTTACTGTGTATGGTGAGGCAGGGTAGGGCCAGGATGATGGTGTGTATGGTGAGGGGGGTTACTGTGTATGGTGAGGCAGGGTAGGGCCAGGATGATGGTGTGTATGGTGAGGCAGGGTAGGGCCAGGATGATGGTGTGTATGGTGAGGGGGGTTACTGTGTATGGTGAGGCAGGGTAGGGCCAGGATGATGGTGTGTATGGTGAGGGGGGTTACTGTGTATGGTGAGGCAGGGTAGGGCCAGGATGGTGGTGTGTATGGTGAGGGGGGTTACTGTGTATGGTGAGGCAGGGTAGGGGCCAGGATGGTGGTGTGTATGGTGAGGGGGGTTACTGTGTATGGTGAGGCAGGGTAGGGCCAGGATGATGGTGTGTATGGTGAGGGGGGTTACTGTGTATGGTGAGGCAGGGTAGGGCCAGGATGATGGTGTGTATGGTGAGGGGGGTTACTGTGTATGGTGAGGCAGGGTAGGGCCAGGATGATGGTGTGTATGGTGAGGGGGTTACTGTGTGTGGTGAGGCAGGGTAGGGCCAGGATGGTGGTGTGTATGGTGAGGGGTTACTGTGTATGGTGAGGCAGGGTAGGGGCCAGGATGGTGGTGTGTATGGTGAGGCAGGGTAGGGCCAGGATGGTGGTGTGTATGGTGAGGGGGGTTACTGTGTATGGTGAGGCAGGGTAGGGCCAGGATGGTGGTGTGTATGGTGAGGGGTTACTGTGTATGGTGAGGCAGGGTAGGGCCAGGATGGTGGTGTGTATGGTGAGGGGGTTACTGTGTATGGTGAGGCAGGGTAGGGGCCAGGATGATGGCGTAATATGTTGCTTTATAGTGAGCGTTCCGTCTGGCTCCGAGCAGGCCTGCGGTGGCTGATAACACCGTGTGTGTGTGTGGGCACTCTACTCACCTAGTTGTATTCACTTGTACTTGCGGGGGTTGAGCTCTGGCTCTTGAGCTCTGAGAGGCGCGACCTCTGGTTGAGGTCGCGCCTCTCAACTGTCAATCAACTTGTGTAAGATTCCTGAGCCTACTGGGCTCTATCATATCTACATTTAAAACTGTGTATGGAGTCAGCCTCCACCACATCACTGCCTAATACATTCCATCCGTTAACTACTCTGACACTGAAAAACTTCCTTCTAACGTCCCTGTGGCTCATGTGGGTACTCAGTTTCCATCTGTGTCCCCTTGTTCGCGTACCACCAGTGTTGAATAGTTTATCCTTGTTTACCCGGTCGATTCCCCTGAGGATTTTGTAGGTTGTGATCATGTCTCCCCTTACTCTTCTGTCTTCCAGTGTCGTAAGGTGCATTTCCTGTGTGTGTGTGTGTGTGTGTGTGTGTGTGTGTGTGTGTGTGTGTGTGTGTGTGTGTGTGTGTGAGAGAGAGAGAGAGAGAGAGAGAGAGAGAGAGAGAGAGAGAGAGAGAGAGAGAGAGAGAGAGAGAGAGAGAGAGAGAGAGAGAGAGAGAGAGAGAGAGAGAGAGAGAGAGAGAGAGAGTGAGTGCGAGTGTACAAGAGAGCCAATTAAACATGGTAATTCATTGAGTGTGTTATGCAGGAGAGCAAGGCACGCTGAGCGATGCAACAACAGCAAGATTACTGAATAACCAGAGTCTCCCAGGAGGTCAGCCAGCCACGTGGCCCCACCGTGTGACCCTCACCCCTCATACCCGTGTACTCCCCTCCTCCTTATACCTAACACATACCTGTGTACTCCCCTCCTCCTTATACCTAACACCTCAAACATTATCCTCATTCCAATAACTTTTTTAACTATAACTCTAAATAATTCTAACTAACTAACAATAACTCAGATTCTTTTGACTTTAGTCTAGTAAACATTGACTCGGCCTTATATATATTCTCTTCTACAACTCATCATGGGAGTTGATGAATTATAGAAGATATTTGAGGAGGTGGGACGGTTGTTTCAAGCGTAGGGTGGACCTGTGCATGGGGAGAGGGGGGTGGGGGAAGTCCTGTGGGTGTGTAGTTAGCTTAGGCTTCGAGCAACTGTGACTTCCTTTTGCAGTTTCCTTCCTTCGTGTGTTCTTACTAAACTAAGTAACTAGTTCGCCTGCGATGTAACTTGCCAAGCTGAACGGCCTGCTGGGCTCACATTGTTGACATACATGTCGAATGATACAACTACCTTGTTAAGGCGGTAATGTACAGAGCACATTGGGAGTTGAGGTTCAGGTTCTAGTGGAGCCCAGTAGGTGCCTCTGTAACCTTTTCCACTGTCGCCCTCAGCATGGGAATGGGGTCCAGTACCATTCACAGGATGGGTATGGGGTCCAATACCATTCAAAGGATGGGAAGTGGGTCCAATACGATTCACAGGATAGGAATTGGGTCCAATACCATTCAAAGGATGGGTATGGGGTCCAATACCACTGAAAGGATGGGTATGGGGTCCAATACCAAACACAGAATAGATACGAGCATTCTTCCACTCACAGGATGCTTATGGGACTCCCCCTTACACTCATACAATAGGTATTCTGTCCACTGCTGTTCACAATATGCCCATGAGGTTCCTCACCACTCACAGGATGGGTATGGGATCCAGTACAGCACGTGTGGCGGCCTGGCCGGGGGGGGAAGGGGAGGTGGCGGGCAGCATCACCACCTCATCTTTAAGGCTGGAGATGGTCCTCGTGGCGCTGTGAGCCTCACCTCCAACCCGGCCTCGGGGAGGTCCACTCTGTGGCCTTCCTGCCGATCGATTAATGGTTGAGAGGCGGGACCCAAGAGCCGGAGCTCATCACACCTCAAAGCCCCCTTGTAAATTCAACTAGAAGAGAATAATTAGATTAGTATTCAGAACTCTAATATGTGAAAAGATAATTGCAAAAACTTCATACAGTAAAATCTACTTAGAGATAACGTGAGGTAATATAGTTTACTTATATGTAAACTATGACAGAAGTATTACATGACAGTGTCACTTACTCTCGCTCAGTATGCCAGCCATGACAGTGTCACACTCGCTCAGTATGCCAGCCATGACAGTGTCACTCTCGCTCAGTATGCCAGCCATGACAGTGTCACACTCGCTCAGTATGCCTCTCCTCACCGTATAATACCTCACAGTAGAGAAGGTCTTAATACCTCTCATCATACCATGTATACATCCCTATGTGTAACAGGTGTGGGAGCCAGGCTTGCCACATGTGACTCTCCTACCTCACCGGCCCTCAGCTCAGCTTCTGGGATCCACCAGCACGCTAATCTCCTTATTTATGTTGGTTTGGGAGCCGTCCACGACGTGTCTGCCTGGGTGGGCACACCGGGAGCCCACCCAGACCCACCCACTCCCGCCCTGAAGAACCCACCGGAAAGCGAGAAATGGTATCAACTTGCCTGAGAACGCAGGCCTCTTTTCCGGTAGTGTCCTGACGATAGTAAGGCGACGCAGTGGGTGTACTGTCGCCTGGTCTTCCGGCAGTGTCCAAGCACATCACCTGTTTGTGTGTGTTTGGAGCGCTTTGTCATGGGTTCGTATCCTGGCCGGGGAGGATTTACTGGGCGCAAATCCTTAGCTGTAGCCTCTGTTTAACTCAACAGTAAAATGTGTACTTGGTTGTAAACACGATTTTTCGTGGCGGGGATCGTATTCCAGGGACCTGCCCGAAACGCTACGCGTACTAGTGGCTGTACAAGAATGTAGCAACTCTTGTATATATCTCAAAACAAAAAAAATGTTCCCAAACGTTTCCTAAACAAAAAATACAAAAGTTACACCTGTTTTCATTCTTCCGGTTTTTATCCTTTACGGGGTAACTCAACAAAAGCGCCCGCGGGATACATTGCTTCTGTTTTGGGTGTCAGGAAGCTTAAACTTGGGCTTAACACCGTCCTTCTAGAAGACTCTAAGACAACCCGCAACAGATGCGTAACTCCCGGGTCCCTGTTATCCAACTAGGTGAACAGAGACATAAGGCGAGAGGAAACGTGCCCAACCATTTCTATCATGCCTAGAGAATGAAACCGGATAGAGAATGAAGCCTCATTTCTTAACCGAGGACGTAGACCACGCTGCTATCCTCAGAGTTTACGTTGGACGAAAAAAATGATAGCCAGAGCCAAAGGATCCTTACCAGTTGATCAGTAATCCTCTAAAAAATCCCACAGAGGATGATAGGCACCAAACAGAACATCAAAACAATCATACCACCACATTTCGAAGCACTAAATCGCTTCACTCGACCCTCGAATCGAACTGCCCAACTGGCCGTCAGTGTTCGAGGAGACGTAGGAGTGTACGGGCTGGTGGACGCTTCCCTAACCTCTGCTCTGAGGACCACGTCAGGACTGACCTACTGAGGGCCCAGGAGGACGTAATTCTTGTGTGATGGCGTCTACTGGCCCCCGAGTTGGTATGTCTGTACGTTGTTTTACCGTCCGTATGGTGGCTAGGGCGGCCTTGATTGTCCGTGTCTTGATGGTGAAGTGTTGTGATTGTCCTTGTTTGGCTGTGTGTTATCATTGTCTTTGTTTTGTGCATGGATTGTTGTCATTGTCCGGGTCTAGGCTTCCGCTGTTTTGTAGGGTTTTCATTGCTTTTGTGTTTGTGCTGTTGTGAACGCTGCGTGTTTGGACTTGAGCTGTTGTGAACGCAGTGTGTTTGGACTTGAGCGTTGTGAACGCAGTGTGTTTGGACTTGTGCTGTTGTGAACGCTGCGTGTTTGGTCTTGTTTTGTTGTGAACGCTGCGTTTGGACTTGTGTTGTTGTGAACGCTGCGTTTGTTCTGTTGTGAACGCTGTGTTTGTGCTGTTGTGAACGCTGTGTTTGTGCTGTTGTGAACGCTGTGTTTGGCCTTGTGTTGTTGTGAACGCTGCGTTTGGACTTGTTATGAATGTTATATTAGTATTTGCTATTCTTTTGAAATTTATTTTAAATTGAAGTCATAAGTCGTAGTTACTGCACACTTGCCCGTCGCCTAGTACAGCGTAGCGCGGCCGGTGGTGGTGAACACTTCCCTGTACTCTTGGGGCGTACCCAAGCCTCCGACCAGGGTACATGGCGTACCCACACCGGCCAGGGTACATGGCGTACCCACACCGGCCGGGGTACACGGCGTACCCACACCGGCCGGGGTACACGGCGTACCCATACCAGCCAGGGTACACGGCGTACCCACACCGGCCGGGGTACATGGCGTACCCACACCGGCCGGGGTACACGGCGTACCCACACCGGCCGGGGTACACGGCGTACCCACACCGGCCGGGGTACACGGCGTACCCACACCGGCCGGGGTACATGGCGTACCCACACCGGCCGGGGTACACGGCGTACCCACACCGGCCGGGGTACACGGCGTACCCACACCGGCCGGGGTACACGGCGTACCCACACCGGCCGGGGTACACGGCGTACCCACACCGGCCGGGGTACACGGCGTACCCACACCGGCCGGGGTACACGGCGTACCCACACCGGCCGGGGTACACGGCGTACCCACACCGGCCGGGGTACACGGCGTACCCACACCGGCCGGGGTACACGGCGTACCCACACCAGCCGGGGTACACGGCGTACCCACACCGGCCGGGGTACACAATGTACCCACACCAGCCCCTGCCTCAGTTTCAAATGTAGATATGATAGAGTTCAACAGGCTCAGGAACCTGTACGCCAGTTGGTCGACGGTTGAGAGGCGGGACTAAAGAGCCGAAGCTCAATTAATCTTCCCGTAAGCACAATTAGGCGAGTATACCCACCACCACCTCCTGATTGATTGATAAAGATTAAGCCACCCAAAAGGTGGCACGGGCATGAATAGCCCGTAAGTGGTGGCCCTTTTGAGCCATTACCAGTATCAAGAGCTGATACTGGAGATCTGTGGAGGTGCGACTGCACCCTGCGTGACGGGAGATGTCTCCCGTGTGGAGAAGGGAACCACCGCCTCCACCACACATTCTCCTTTCTACTCCTCCCCCTCTCCCACCACCTCTCTTCTCTCGTTTCTCTCTCTCATTCTCTACTTCTACCCCCTTCCCCCCATGCCTCCCCCACCTTCCTGTGCCCGAGGTAATAAGGATCAAAGTCATTCTGGTGATTACATTACTGTTACTCTTCCTGCTTTGCTCTGTCACGCTTGCTGGCTCCTGTTGGTCCGTCAGCGAGGCTCTGTCACGCTTGCTGGCTCCTGTTGGTCCGTCAGCGAGGCTCTGTCACGCTTGCTGGCTCCTGTTGGTCCGTCAGCGAGGCTCTGTCACGCTTGCTGGCTCCTGTTGGTCCGTCAGCGAGGCTTTGTCACGCTTGCTGGCTCCTGTGGGTCCGTCAGCGAGGCTCTGTCACGCTTGCTGGCTCCTGTTGGTCCGTCAGCGAGGCTTTGTCACGCTTGCTGGCTCCTGTGGGTCCGTCAGTGAGGCTCTGTCACGCTTGTCAAGCATAACTAGGTCGTTACCCACAGAAGCAGTATTGACGTAGTTCACATCAGAGGACGCGTGCAAGGGAGCAACACGCTCACCAATTTAGTGTCGTAAGCCTTAACGAGATTTTGCGTACGGCCTTGGAAGCAGGAGTGACGCGCACCTACGCACGCACTCACAAATATCCTAACATCAGATTAAAGCACTCACACACGTCCGACCTACGCTTGAAACAATCCAGCAAAGGTGTGTTAAATTAAATCAATTGCCCCCTTGGTATCCGAACCAGTATTTACCCAGGGCTTAAGTGAATCTAAACTTCCTTCGTGGCCATTGAGGATGGTCGCGAGGTCCTTCATCTGTCGCCTTAGGCACCGTTCTCCCAACTTGCCTCTCCGTAAGAAACGCAACTGTTTTGTCTGACCAGGACCCTATGGTCCTAAGACTTCGAGGCCAATACTTGGAAAACATGGCACTAGGTCTATTATTACAAGCACAAAACATAGGCCTATAATTGTGCCAAACATGACACACAGGCCTGTAACTATTGTGAAAATCACAGGGGGGTCAGGGTGTGGGCTGGGGGCTTCCACAGGGGCCAGGGTGTGGGCTGGGGGCTTCCACAGGGGCCAGGGTGTGGGCTGGGGGCTTCCACGAGACCAATACGTGTGCTGGGGGAGCTTCCACAAGGTCAGGGCGTGAATGGGTCAACTGGGCCACGTGTTCGAGCAAGTTAAGTTGTACCGAGGCGCCACAGATGGTCAGCGTGAGGGAGTTGAAGTGCGTTGATGTGCTTGTGGGTTAGGCCAAAGTGCCTCGCTATGTGCCGCGTTACATCACTAACCGCCGGGGGCAAGGAAACTGCCACTTTGTTGCCCCGAGCAACGGGATACACGCGGGAAGGTCTCGTGAATGTCAGCGAAGTTCTGGTCCTTGTGTGGGCATGGCGGTTACGCCCCTTTAATCCCCAGCATATTTATTGGTTTAATATACTGCAATTTATTTTTTTCATTTTTTTTAGATGGAATGTTTTTTTTTTTTACAACAAATTGGACATTAGGAACGCACTGTATTGTGAAACCAATTTTAAAAACTTGAATTCTAAACTGTTGAGCTGTACAAACAAAAAATAATCATTAGGATTGATAAAAAATTATTTAATGTATTTGTTAATATGCAAACTAAATTGGTTTTTATTTGTGCGTAATATATTTTGACGTCATAGTGGGTCGCCCTGGTGTGGCTGGCGCTGTGGGTGGTGCCCTGGGCGCTGTGGGTGGTGCCCTGGGCGCTGTGGGTGGTGCCCTGGGCGCTGTGGTGGTGCCCTGGGCGCTGTGGTGGTGCCCTGGGGGCTGTGGTGGTGCCCTGGGCGCTGTGGGTGGTGCCCTGGGCGCTGTGGGTGGTGCCCTGGGCGCTGTGGGTGGTGCCCTGGGCGCTGTGGGTGGTGCCCTGGGCGCTGTGGGTGGTGCCCTGGGCGCTGTGGGTGGTGCCCTGGGCGCTGTGGTGGTGCCCTGGGCGCTGTGGTGGTGCCCTGGGCGCTGTGGGTGGTGCCCTGGGCGCTGTGGGTGGTGCCCTGGGCGCTGTGGTGGTGCCCTGGGCGCTGTGGTGGTGCCCTGGGCGCTGTGGTGGTGCCCTGGGCGCTGTGGGTGGTGCCCTGGGCGCTGTGGTGGTGCCCTGGGCGCTGTGGGTGGTGCCCTGGGCGCTGTGGTGGTGCCCTGGGCGCTGTGGTGGTGCCCTGGGGGCTGTGGGTGGTGCCCTGGGGGCTGTGGGTGGTGCCCTGGGGGCTGTGGGTGGTGCCCTGGGCGCTGTGGTGGTGCCCTGGGCGCTGTGGTGGTGCCCTGGGCGCTGTGGGTGGTGCCCTGGGTGCTGTGGTGCGGTCGTTACGCTACGCAGTCATTGCCTCGTTGCTCAGCCGTCAGTTACCATCATCTAAGATGAGTGACGGAGACAGTATACCATATATCATGCGATGAATAAACTCATGTCATGAGGGGATCATACCTGGCTGACGTCATACCCATTGACGCCACTCACGTCACGTGACCTGGTGTAGCCAATGAAAAAGCATGTGATGTCACGGAGTCCGCCAATCACACAAACAAGAGACACAAATGGTGGACAGATATCACGGAATAAGGACACGTGACACATAGATGCCCTGCTCTCTGAGTCTGGCCAGTGTTCAACAACCATTTACGCATCTACTCACTCGTCTTTCCTCAAACTTTGACGCAATTTGTGTACATGTATTAAATAGTTTGAGATCCGCAGCATTATAAGAGGTTGTTTACAGGGCCGACACGTAGTTGAAGAGGGTCGACTCTGGCGACTGGTGGACCAGATTACCTCACCGCTCGTTATAAGGCTGTCATAAGAAACTGTTGACAGCTAACAGGAAGCTGCAGGTATGACAGTGATTGACGTGAGACACTGTTGGGGGGGGGGACCCGGTTTAGTGTTTACCGGGATCAATTACCGAGTTAGATCTGGGAAAATACTGGTTTGGAAATTGGGTTGTTGGTTTCTGAAAAGGATTACCGGGTGACGCAGTCGGCGTGGAATCATTTGATTGTTTCAAGTGTAGGTTAAACATGTATATGAATCAATTTTGGTGGATTTAAATAGTTTGTCACGTATTGGGCAATAGGCCTTGTGAAGCTTCCTTAATTCGAAACGGCTTCTTCAGGAACAAGTCCTTTCTTGAGTCTCCGGAACAATGTGAATTTTGTGCCGTTCTTGATGTCAGATGTCGAGTCCACTTACAAGTAAATGTACTCAACATGTACTTGGAGAGAGAGTACATGTACCAGTATGGCCGCTGCTGGCCAGGGATCACCACACCTTGTGAGCCACCGTCGTACTACAAGGTCCCGGGGTTCGAATCTTCCTGCACATTTCTCATGAAATCGAGCATTTCTTAAAAGATTGAAAACTTGTGTGTGTGTGCTGTAAAGTGTTCTTTTGCTATAGAACTTTCACGCGTAACATTTTTTGTTTTTTTCACTCATTCCAATAAATTTTGGTATTTTCAACACTATTTCTACCAAGTGTCTACACTAAATCACAAATAACTCCAGCACATAATAGTTTGTCCGGGACGAGAGAGAGAGAGAGAGAGAGAGACGCTTGATGTCTCTGGAAGACAAGTATGTGAGTCTCTGGTCCGGTGAGCAGATCACGAGTGGCTTCCCCCAATTAAACGTCTCTCAATATAAGATAAGAGTTCCTATCTGATATAGAGAGACGTCTATGTTACTCTACACTCTTGCGATTAATCTTATCACCCCAATAACCTTACGTGAGCTTGGTAAGTGCATACATATTTCAAGAGTGTCTTTGTGAAAAGGCAAAAACACTGCATACAGGAATCACAGTAGCGTGGTATTTGTTCTTTGCCAAATACAATGGTTGCGGTTTTGTTCATTTGCTGCATTTAGCATGACAGGGCCGTCAACCAGCCTGTTGGTGGTGGCGGCTTAATCTTCATCAATCTCCTTGTTGTCCCAAGTGTCTCGCTTGACGTTCCTCCTCCAGTGAGTATCACCTCCAGTTATTTGTTGATCTTGTTTATACATGTGATGTAAGAGGCATTTCTTTCCTCCTAGGTACGTGGAGGTCGTGCTGGAGGCTCAGGTACGTGGAGGGTCGTGCCGAGGGCCCCAGGTACGTAGGGGTCGTGCTGGAGGCCCAGGTACGTGGAGGTCGTGCTGGATTCCCAGGTACGTGGAGGTCGTGCTGGAGGCCCAGGTACGTGGAGGTCGTGCCTGGGTCTCTCCACACACTCGTACCATCGCCCACACCTCCCCCACATCCCCACTCACCCCCACACCGCCTGTGGGAGTGTGTACACACCGCCCACCACTTGAGTGCTGGGTCACCTGCTTTAATCATACCATAAATACGTTTATAATTATATATTTTCCTCATAAAGGCAGTGAAATCCTGTCCTCTCTTAATTTTTTTCACGGTATCGAGCACACGGTTAAAATGTCTGTGGTTTAGAGGGTTATAAAGCTTGGGGATATTAAGGCTTGCTGGAGTCTGGAGCTGCAGTCTGGGGCTGGAGTCTGGGGCTGCATAGAAATAGCAAGCATTGACATTATTACACTCTGGGTTTACTGCTCCAGACACCCCCGCTATGGAGGTTTAAATAGTGGTTTAGTGGTTCTACACACCATGGGTTTATTTGTCATGGTGTGGCGAGCCCTCCTGTTGTTCAGAGGAACTACCAGGTGCTAGTTATTCCTACTCCCTTAAACTCGTAGATAATTCTCTGGTCTTAGGGTAGTGTTGAAGGCGGTGTCCGGCAAAATGCAGATCAAATAAAATATCAAATGTGGATACTGTTCCCATTTTGTACCCGCAAGATAACGTAAGTTTAGGGGTTGGCAAATGTTTAATCTTTTAGTTTGATAAGCTGTTCACTTGAGACAGTTAAGCAAGTCCCAGCTGTGTCTGGGTATAAGTGACAGGATGAACAACCCAGCGGGTTTTCTTCCATTTGGGGAGTGTTGTACACGCTGCTATGGCGGTGTGTCCACTCACAGGATGAGTGACGCTGCCCAATACTGTCACTATGGCGGTGTGTTCACTAACAGGAAAAGTGACGCTGACCAATACTGTCACTATGGCGGTGTGTCCACTCACAGGATGAGTGACGCTGCCCAATACTGTCACTATGGCGGTGTGTTCACTCACAGGATGAGTGACGCTGCCCAATACTGTCACTATGGCGGTGTGTTCACTCACAGGATGAGTGACGCTGCCCAATACTGTCACTATGGCGGTGTGTTCACTCACAGGATGAGTGACGCTGCCCAATACTGTCACTATGGCGGTGTGTTCACTAACAGGACGAGTGACGCTGCCCAATACTGTCACTATGGCGGTGTGTTCACTCACAGGATGAGTGACGCTGCCCAATACTGTCACTATGGCGGTGTGTTCACTCACAGGATGAGTGACGCTGCCCAATACTGTCACTATGGCGGTGTGTCCACTCACAGGATGAGTGACGCTGCCCAATACTGTCACTATGGCGGTGTGTTCACTCACAGGATGAGTGACGCTGCCCAATACTGTCACTATGGCGGTGTGTTCACTCACAGGACGAGTGACGCCCTACGGGACAAAAAAAAATTAGAGATTTAGTCACCGTGTGTGTGTGTGCTAACCTAGTTGTGCTTGCGGGGGTTGAGCTCTGGCTCTTTGGTCCCGCCTCTCAACTGTCAATCAACTGGTGTACAGATTCCTGAGCCTACTGGGCTCTATCATATCTACATTTGAAACTGTGTATGGAGTCAGCCTCCACCACATCACTGCCTAATGCATTCCGTCTATTAACTACTCTGACACTGAAAAAGTTCTTTCTAACGTCCCTGTGGCTCATTTGGGTACTCTGTTTCCACCTGTGTCCCCTTGTTCACGTACCACCCGTGTTAAACAGTTTATCTTTATCTACCCTGTCAATTCCTCTGATAATTTTGTAGGTAGTGATCATGTCTCCCCTTACTCTTATGTCTTCCAGAGTCGTGAGGTGCAATTCCCGCAGCCTTTCCTCGTAACTCATGCCTCTTAGTTCTGGGACTACCCTATTGGCATACCTCTGAACTTTTCCAAGTTTCGCCTTGTGCTTGACAAGGTACGGGCTCCATGCTGGGACCGCATACTCCAAGATTGGTCTTACATATGTGGCATATAAGGTTCTGAATGATTCCTTGCACAGGTTCCTGAAGGCAGTTCTGATATCAGCCAGCCTCGCATACGCTGCAGATGTTATTATTTTGATGTGGGCTTCAGGAGACAGGTTTGGTGTGATATCAACTCCTAGATCTTTTTCTCTATCCGTTTCATGAAGGACTTCCTCCCCCATTCGGTATCCTGTGTCTGGCCTCCTGTTTCCACTGCCTAGTTTCATTACCTTACATTTACTCGGGTTGAACCTTAATAGCCATTTGTTGGACCATTCATTCAGTCTGTCTAGGTCATCTTGTAGCCTCATACTATCTTCCTCCATATTAATCCTCCTCATAATTTTTGCATCATCAGCAAACAATGAGACGAATGATTCTATACCATCTGGAAAATCATTTACATATATAAGAAACAGTATGGGTTCAAGGACTGAACCCTGCGGGACTCCACTGATGACGTCTCGCCAATCTGAGTCCTCGCCCCTCACTGTGACTCGCTGTCTTCGGTTAGGTATAAGATAAGGTACTCCCTTATCCAATGGAGTACCTTCCCTTTCATTCCTGCCTGCATCTCTAGCTTACACACTAGTCTCTGGTGTGGCACTGTGTCAAAGGCTTTCTGGCAATCTAAAAATATGCAGTCTGCCCACTGTGTGTGTGCTTGCGGAGGTTGAGCTCTGGCTTTTTGGTCCCGCCTCTCAACTGTCAATCAACTGGTGTACAGGTTCCTGAGCCTATTAGGCTCTATCATATCTACACTTGAAACTGTGTATGGA